ATATATATATACATATATATATAATTTATATAACTCAAAGTAAGGACATAAAGGAAAAGGGTATAAATTTCAAACAAATTAAATGAAAAAGTGAGTATGTCATCTTCAAAAAGCTTTTAAAACACAATGCAAAATATACTTGATGTAATAAAAAGGCAATGGAAAAAATGAATAAGAAAACTGATTAGAGCATCATATATAACCTCACTAGCGTATTTACTATGTGCTGGACCCTTCACTTAGTTCTTAACAAACATACTGCCTCTGCAACACTATGGCACAGACATGTTTACGCCATATCTACAGATGAGAACTTTGAAGTGACTACTTAGCTGGCAAGTTGAGGAAAAGAGGTTCCAGATACAAAGGCAAACATTGGGGTGAGGGTCAGACCCCAACTCTGCTCATTAAGCAAACTTGAGGACTGAGATGTTTCCCCATTTGTTTGCAGTTTTGAGGTTGATGACCTCACGGTCTTCTAGCTGTGGAAATGTCTAAGTCAGTGAACCTCTTGTTGTAAGGTTAACCTGGGGCAACAGAGGGCCTTTATGTTAACTAATGATTGCTTTGGAATACTGCTCTCTTTCTCCTCTCCAACCTGCACTCTGTCTTTCAGATATGCTCAATGTCAGTAGATAGGCCACTAAGATAGGGTTGGATAAAGGGGGAGGAATAAATCATAATTAAGTTTAGGGGGAAGATATTATTGCAGTTCTTTGCTGCCCTCTAGCCTATCCTTCCTGAATTAGTAACATCATTAATGAGTCACACTCATGCTTGCAGACCACTTGGTAAGTTGCTGGTAGAACTAAAGCATCCATCTACTTTAATGACCCAATGCTGCCATGAAGAGATGAACTAGGGAGAATCTAGCCCATTACACTGCACTTTGCCTCAAGATAAATCATGCACAGTGCACCCAGCTGTTTCTGAATACATAGCTCAATATTTTTATATATAAAACATATACTTAAGGAAAGGAAGACTACTGTATGTATTTATGATACTCTCATAAGTACTTAAATAGTCTTTTTTGTTCCTGAAGTGATAACCTTCATTTATATTAAAATTAATGAAGCTGCCTTTTATTCTTGATAAATAAATTTTAGGCAATAATTCTGATAATAATCATAGTATATTAAGACATCCCATTAACTGGACCAGGAGTGTGGCTCAAGAGGCAGAGTACCTGCATAGCAACCATGAGGCCCTGAAAAAAATAAAACTAAAAAGGTCCTATTAAGTACTTTATATCTATTGTCTCAATTAATAAGTAAAAAGAGAACACATGACAAGGGATAATGCAGCATTGATGAAAATGATTTGCAGCAGAAAAGCTAATTACTTATAAGTCTAACCATAATATGTTTCTAACTGAAACAAAAACAAAACAAAAAGTGTATAGCTCACAGTCTCACTTTTCAAGTATATGGGCATTAATACTTTGAAAAATCAACTAACACTTAATTTCAAACAAAAATGGTTATTTACGTGTGATAAAATTATATGAAAAATGTCTTCTTTTAGAAAAATCTCCAAATCTTCTGTAATAAACATGATTTTTTTTCTAATCACAAGTTGATAGATGGTAGAGATGGGCAGACAGCGATTCTTTGGGCATAAGAATAAGTATATATACGTACAAGTATCTTTCAGACTTGATCCCATCTCTTATGAGCACTGAATTATAAATGGTGTCTAATCACCTCACAGCATCAAAAGTTCTTATAGCTCAACATGCAGCTCTTTATTCCCTGGCTCTCTGCTACTTTTCTCACTCATCGTGAAACTCATCCTAATCCAGAACAAGAAAACTTGGGCAAAAAAAGAAACATCTACTGATCCTTTGTGATTCAAGTGGCAAGCACTTACCACCATAAGCACTGTAGTTTTTCCCATCACCTGCAGACCAGTATTAGTGGTATAGAGGTTTAATTCTAAACATTTACTCAGTTAACTTTTCTATTTTATTCATTCATATACACACACACACACATACACACACACAAACACACATATTTTTAAATCCCACAAAAAAATCATTCATCATTCAACTTACTCCCTTGGCTTTGTGCTCACAAGCACTCTGAGAGGCTTTCTGCTATTTAAACAGGATTTCAGGAAGCAATCGACTTCATTGAAAGGTCTCATAAATACAAGGTCACCATTAATAGCAAAAATCTTCTTCCCAACTTCCATGCCAGCCATCTAAGAGAGAAATGGCAAAAATAATTCAAATGATAATTTAATAAAAATTTTAGGTTTTCACAAATCTAGAAAGAGAAAATTTTAAGGTTATATATTTTGAAACTCTAAATACATTTGCAATATTTTTAAACAAATTCATACAATAGAACAATGGATGAAATAGCAGTTCTCATTTCTTTGACCTACCTTTAAATTTGATTATACAGCTTTACTGAAATTCTGCCTCATCTTTTCTCCTTGACATTATACTTCTCATTGGCCTTTTCTTTCTGTTATATAATAGGTCCTTTTCTTATTTCATCCATAACTACAGTCAAACTCCTAGTTAATTTTTAAACTATGCTTTCCGTCTATATCCAATTAACTCAGACGCATATTCAATGGCACCAGTATGAATCTGGTCTGAGATTAGCATAAGTGTCTCCAGAGCAGAAGAGAGAAAAAATGGCTTGGAATCCAAGCAAAAGAGCTCCAACAAGCACAGAGGTATCACAGTGTGCAAGATGCTGAAAAGAGGACAAGGAACATGTTATCCTTCCATGTTAACCCAGATACTCTTCTCAACCAATCCTACAGCCTACGAACTCCCAGCTGCTTTGGCTGGCAGTTAAGTGATCAACACTGCTGCTAGGGTACTTTATCAATAGCATATTCAGATGAAGTGTTCTCTAAAAGCATCTTCTGAAATGCCTAGGAGACACATCTCAGTCTCATACAAAACTAGTAAATATGGTCAGTATGTTGGTTAGGCTCACTAACAGAGTATGAGTCGACCAACTATTTTGTTTGTAATTAGTATGTTATACATGAAGTTTTATCTTGCATGCACTTTTCTTTTGGTCAGAGACCATGGGCATTACCAGACAGGAGGATGAGAGGTGAAAAATTTCCACTAACTACAAGTAGACTCAAAGTTGAAAGTTTTACTTCATTAACTCTCATATTCTTTATTAAAGATCTGAATATTGAGATGTTTTCTTCAGGATTAAGCATCTTACAAGTCAGCAGTAAGGTGAGATTGCTTAAAGCTTAAATACTTGGGACATAACACTAGAAAGTAGATTCCAAGAGGGCAGGGGATTTTCTCTATTTTGGTGGTCACTGTATTCCCAGAACCTAGAGCACTGCCTAGCACATAACACCTATTTAATAAATATTTCTGAATGAAGGAGTGAATGATCAGGAGATTCCTCTGTTTAGACACCTGGTCATGTAAAAGAATATCAGTCATTGTTAATCCAACCTACTGATGGAAGTTACATTTATGGAAGAGATAAAGATAGTAGGAAAGTAGATGACAAAGCTTGATTGAACAAAAGAACTGTCTGCATACACGGTACAGTTGTCACATCCTATGCACCTACACAGGGCTCCAGGTTGGAATTTGTGATTAGAGAAGTCCCAGGGACATAGAATAAGCTGCTTGGCCTCCCAGGAGATCAAGAAGCTCGGGACTATAGATCTCTGGAATGCCCCTTCCTCCCAATTCCCCCAGTGCCCACACACAGGCCCAGCTGACACAAATGCTGAGTACCTGGTAGAATCTCAAAGTAAGTTTATTCAGACACATTATCAATAAACATACTAAATGGGTAATTTCAATTTCTTTAAAGCTTTTATATTTACACATCATATCAACTAATATGAATAAAAATGCTAATTTACATTACCTCAGCATTAGATCCCTTTTCTACCATCTTTATTATTGGAACTTTATTTTTGTCTTCTAGCCCAAATCCATAGCTGCCTTCATTAGATTTAATCTGAAATGTAAAATAGTAACATTATTAATAAGGAAACTACAAAAAACAGTTACAACAAAATGAAACAATACATATCACCATCAAATACGCTAATGCAATCTCCTAAAAAAGTCTAATCAACAAGAAAATGTACACAGTAATTGACTTACCAGTAGAGACTTAGCTATCACGTTTTCCACAACTTTTAAGTCATGTTTCATAAGTCGATGTTTCATATTCGATCCTTCCATTTCTTCATCAGCAAAAAAACGGAAAAGCAGGGCTTCATCTTTGAATTCACTTTTTTCAAGGACTACAGAAACAAAGGGAGATTAAAATTGTTTCAATCAGTCCAAAAATCAAACTCATTTTCCATCCCTGTAGACATTCAACAAATACATACCTGTGTACAACTTTAACTTTTTATTTCCAGTTGAATTACAATTAAAAAATGTATCTAAGATTCTTCTGTTTCTTTCTATAATCTCAAGCCATTGTTTCCTTTAAAAAAAATTAATGTTACCTAAAGGATTTTGGCTTTTTTAAATGAGTAGTATTTCTGCAATGTTAACTTTTATGTACTTAACCAAATCTGCCATTATCTGGACTAAACTCCAAACTGAAGTTAGAACCAAAAAATGAATGCAATCCAAATGTGGAAACATGGTGTTTTCAACTTGTGTAGACATTTTAAACATGTTTTTTTAATATTCTGCACAATTATGGGAAAATTCAAATGGGTTAAATATTATCCTTCTATGTGCTTGTAATTCCCACTGGGGTCACTTTTGTTTTAACAGTTCAAATCAAAAATATGTCTTCTGGGTGAAATGTGATTTTAGTTTCCATGAATTTCTAGTTCTTTCCTATTTCAAAACAATATTCTCAAAGGTCAGTTTTCTCTCCTTTATCTGAACATTAATATTTTTCCCCAAAGCCCTTCAGATCCCTGGCAGGCACTGATGGCATAAGGTTTATGCTTTGTTAACTTTATTTAAAGCTAAATACTAAGAGGAAAGGTTTGTACTGAAGTACTGAATGAGATCTTGACAGCTATCAAAGTGCTTTGGAAGAGAACTCTCTGCTTCTGTATCATCTGTGCTTGGTACCTTGAAGTATACTTGTTGAGAAGGTTGATTCACACAGCCAGTAGCTAAAAGGAAGACAGAGGTCTCTAGAGCACAGTAGAAAGAGTTAGGCTTTGTGAAAAATCAGTCCAGCTCTGTGACCAATTCTGGGTATGACAGTAAGAAAGTTACTTTAACTCTCTGAACTTTAGTTTTCCCATTTTCAAAATGAAGGCAATAAAAGTCTTCTTTGTACTACCGCATTAAATTATAATGAGATCATACATGTAAATAACCTGACATGTAGTAAGCAACCAAAAACAACAGCTTTTTATTGCATTATTTTTACAGCATTCCAATAAATAATTTTTGACCAGATAGATGAGTAGTATATGTTGGATCAAAGACTGGCTTGGCAACATCAAATGAAGCTATCAACCACAGAGTAAAAGGCAACACAAACTATAGCTGACTATAGAAATGAGAATATATTTCACATCAAGTCAAGTCTTACCTAAATCATCTACACAGTTTCCCAAAACTCACATAGTGTTTCTGCCACAGCTGTTTTTCTCCACCAAAAAGCCCATCAAAAGGAGCAACCAAAAGCATCAAGAAAGCCAGGCATGAATCAAACTGGTTGTGCTTTATGATAGACTTTTGTCAAGATAACTTTCACAATAAATGATTAGCCCAATTTACTGCTTCCTGATGCTTTATGTTAAAGAGAAAAGAAACTATTGAGGGTTTTCTATTCCATAGTATAGTTTTCATTCCCTACAATGTTGCAAATTCTTTCATTCAATAGTTTGTTTTTCAGGTACCAATATTTCTCTATCTCAACTCACATAGTCATCTTGAAAGACTGAGATGGGATAGAATTCTCCAAAGAATGGAATGTAGAATAACCAAAGATGCTCTCACAACTGTTAGAATTTTTGCTGTGCTTTCTTTCTCATATAAGCGTAAAAACCTTCTGAAAGTAATTGAAAAACAGATACAAGTGCTATGAAATATATTAATAAACATATTATGCTAGTAACTGAAAAGGAAGCTTAAGGTTTATGGACTGTATAAGATGATGTGACTCAACAGGAAAAAGTAAGTCTCATTGCTTTGATAAATCCAAGAACTTTATTTTAAAAACCCTCTTGTTTGGTAACTCATTTGAAGTCATCAAAGAAGAAAAATAATCAATTTCTAATAGACAAAAAGAAACATCTTCCCAGAGATTTATTTTGTCTCTAAGGTAATTTTGGAAGTGTTTTCCTACAAAGAACACTAGTCAATGATATATATTCTCATTTAATCATTTTACTAGATACTGTCATTCCAAAAAAAAACCCTCAAGTCTAATTCAAAATCAATTCAAAAGCATATATGAGCCTTTTAAAAAACAAAACTTCTAGCTCGAGCCATTGCTCTTCTGAAATCAGCAAGGTCTAGAGAAATAAGAGGGAGGTCATAGCAACTGGTAGAGGACAGCAATTTGACAGAAATGGCACCATCAATGCAACTGACTGCACATGTGGTAACAAAGCACAAACCCAGGGCAACACCTAGACTGTCTCACTGGTTCATCTTGACCTCACTAGAACACTGAGATATTCCCAATGTCCCAAGGAGAACCAAAATAAATGAATTACATTTGTAAGTTCCCAGGGTAAAAATCCCTACCATGATGCATAAATCCATTGTCACACAGTCCAACGCCAAATATCATTGCCTCTTCTCTGGTGCGGCAATCCCCCTGTTAACCAAAGAAGCAACCAGGCATGTTAATCAGCAACCAAAGGCTTTGCTGCATCTTTACTACATCTGACATCCCCACACTATATTCAAACAAAGCCATTCATGTATTATAGCATCCACGGCTTCATAAGACAGGATCCATCTCATTATTAAAAAATACTCACTTAACATGAAAGCTCTTTTGACATTCAATGAAAAAGACAATATTTCTTGAGAAAAATGTTATTAAATATGAACATATACAGGTAAAGGAAATTTACTGCTCTTAGGAATTACCCTTTATAGAAATTATCCCTTTCTGTTATTTCTTAGAGGTAATATTCCAAATATGCAACAGGGAAATTGTCTGTAAATTAAATTAACAACATGCTACATAAAGGGAAATAAAAATCGTTGTAGATTATCTCAGCCACTCACTCTTCCCTTCCACAAATGCTCTTGCTCCTAAAGAGCCCCTAAGGCCACCTATTAATCCATAGTGACGTGTAAGACCTTAAGAGTAAATGGTTCAGCTGAGCTAGCAAGCACAAGCTTCTCTTTCACTATTTTGCCAAGAAAATAATCAAATCATGCCACTGGACCCAGCAAGATAGCCCAAAGCAATCATTTTGTGGTTTTTATCTAGAAACTACCCACACTTCATTTATATGGATATGGATTCATTTTTTAAAAAAATAATTATAGCATATTGAAGTTTTCTGTTGGGCTTTCAAGACTTTCCAGGTCCTGATTTTATTCTCCCTCTCCAGCTTCACTTTCTATTATACCAATGCTGTTTCCTCTAGGCAAAGTGGCCTCCCCATTGTTGCCTCACTCACTAACACAATTATTTGTTCTTACACCCTCTACCCATTTAAATTCTACCTATCCGTGGATGAAGGACTGAAGTAAGTTCAACCTCATGCTGTAATGGCTGCAACCCTGTTAACTATCAAAGCATTGAAAATCTGTAACTCCAGACTATTCATCAGGCTTGCTTCAAAAACCTAGCTGTTACATAATTTGCATGCATTCATTCAAACGATATTTACTCGTTTTTTTCTATATATCGTGCCAAGTGATAAAGATCAGACATTAAAACACTCAAACATAAAACATTTCCCTACCTTCTAGTAATTCAAACTAGTGAAAGATTTGGTCAATTAAAATGTAAACAGTAATCACCATTATCCAATTTAATCACTATTCCCAATCAGGCAGACAAACCCAGGGAACTAGGACCACAAAATAAGAGCTTAAGCATGGCTAGCAGACCCAGTAAGGCTCTCTGGGGGGAGGAGGTTTAGAGGGGCTTTAAAAATCAGCCCAATGGACCAAAAGTCCCTCGAAGGCAGAAATCACACCTGCCTACTGTTTTGTTGAATTGTGTTATTTTAATAACTTATTTAAATGTTAAGAATACAATAAGAGCTTGTTGATATTTTTTGCCTTATTGGATTAATCATTTGAATATTATACTGGTCAGGGGTAATATTATATTAGCCTTAATGTAAAAATATGATCCGATATGTTTTGGTGACCCTTATGTCTTTTGAAAATCTTACTGGTGAAACTTAAAGAAAGGCAAAACAAAAGCTGTTTGGGTGTGACTAATAATAAAATATCAGAGATGCATACACAAATAACACCTTCCACTAATTAAATGATTTTTAGAAGTACATTAATGCACTTTTCCAGTAAGGAGTATCTTCATGGAATAAGTTATTTTATCATAAACCATTACACTAGAAGCAGCAAAACAGCAAATGAAAACATATTAAGAAAACAGCCGTCACTACATTTTCTAACATGACATCATGCAATCTAGTGCAGAAACTTACATGATCTAAACTATCATATCAAAACAACAGATAGGGTATTGTACTGCAGTCAGCTCTTTACTCTGTCCTGTAAATCTGTCCAAATCAAATCAATCAATACTGGTCGATACTGTAAGTTATGTCTTATTTGAGAGTCTTGGTGAAAAGGCCTTTACTATATTAAAATCACTTTTTAAGTTAGATAAAGCACTTTAACTTGCTCTGTTATCAATTGCTTATTATTTTCCTATTCCAAGGTCACCCATGCTGTCCTATGGTGAAGTTCAGAGTAATAGTTGAGTAGGCTGATACTTAAATTTGGATAAATTTTACATCAGAATGACAAAGTTCCAGTGATAGATAAAAGATGACACGTGTAGCTATTCCAGTAAGTAATAAAAGTTATTAAAACTATGGTTCAGAGAGATGAATTGGCTTTGTACAAGTTTGCTAACTAGTTCTTAGTAGAGCTGGCATCAGATACCAGGTTATCTACAACAAAGTCTAGTGCAATATCTACTAATGCAATTTCTACAGACATTTCCCTAACAGACTACTAAGAAAAGCTAAAGAAAGGAATTACTTCAACTTGGTTCAGATTTTTTTTTAACTTATTCTATTCTTGTAATGCTTATCTTTGGAAAGTAAAAGTACCAATTCTTTTAAAGTTGATAACTGACTTCCTGCGTTAAAACTTGAAATGTTTATTCAGCACCAGCTTTTACTTCAAATAAATTGTCCTCAATTCTCTCACATGATATGTTGTACAAGTTCACATGAATTCTATAACAGCATAAGTTCTACACGAAATTCCCACTCTGATACGGAGCCTATTCCAGTGACACAAGGTAACCAGGGCTATGGAGGTGTATTATGCTAGCAAAGCCACTGCACTATGAATTAAGGTTCAATCTAAATATAAGTTTGGTTTTATCTAAAATATCAATATCTAAATGTAAAAAATTAGGTGCATAAAATATAAAATAGGTGGTCTTGAACAGTCTAGTAATTAATGTTGAACAATAAAAAATCTCACAACACATGTACACAGATGAGGTGCATAGGGCTTAAATATTAATAAATGAAACAAAGATAAACATTTATGATGAAATATGAAATGTTACCATCTATTTGTAACAAAGAAAGTAAGACACTGTCTTTAAAAAGAGAAGAATAAAGCCTTTGATGAAACTGACTCAAAATCCAAGTATTATGACTTACATTTCAACCAAACAATATCCTCTCCCTCGACCTAGTGCGTTCAGTTAAAGTGGGTATCAGATGTTTAGTGTGACCTTTAATTAGCAGAATGCATTCAATCATTTATTTGTTGATCTAGTATTAAAAAATCTAAATAAAATAAATTATATTTAAATATTTATTATGATAGGCTAGACACTTTAATTTGTTTTAGTAAAATCAAATCTCTCTCTCTCTCTGTCTCTCTCTCTCTCTCTCTCTGGCCTTGTGAATGCTAGGTAAGCACTCTACCACTGAACTACATTCCCAGCCCTACATTTTCTTCCTGAGAAACAGAACTACAATAACAATAATAAATTTTTTATTTTACTGTTTAAAATGCATGCAGGCACATTGAAACTCACTTTATCAAAGCAAAATTGTTATTTAATGAGCAGACAGGCAAAGGAACATTAGATCATTTGCTAGGACTGGTAAGCAGTTATTTTAAAACAAATTAGTGAAAAAAAATGCAAGAAATTTTAGTATCTGAACATAGCTATTCTTCCATGATACTCAAATTATGCTTCCTGCTTTTCAATGGATTTCAGCTTTCATTTTAAAAATAGGAATATGCTCCCTTTGAAAGACAAAATAGCATAAAAAGTTGTGCTTAAGGACTCCAAAGTGAGATTATGTAGGTTGAATTGTAGTTCTGCTTAAGAGCTTCATTTGTAGGCAGATTGTCTTAAGTTCCTAATTCACAGGCTCAAAGTTTAAAGCAGAATTAATGCACTCAGCAACTCCAATTTCTCTCTTTACCTGTGCAATTAACCAGTCTATCAGTTTGTTGGCCATGACCACAGATTTATAGGTCCTTAAATGGTAATCTTTATCTCTATAAAGGAAAAAGAAACCAAAAACATTAAGCACACGGAAATATTTTCATTTAGCGCCAGTGTACAGCAGAAAAGTTTACTGTTGTAATCTGAATTTGTTGCCCAAATTCTGTGCAAATAGGGAGGTTTGCAAAATACAACAGCTGAAAAATCTTTTATCAGCTCAAACTAGGGGAAGGTGGCCCACAACAACACAGAAACATAGCATTTGTTCTTTCACATTTTCTTATATACAAATAGATTACTACTGGTACAATATTTGGTAATAATTTAGCTAGAAATATAGCATCTCATTAATAAAGGAATAATATAATTTAATTTCCCCCTTTAGGTAAGGGAAGATTCTACTAAAACTCTTCTTCAAATGTGGGGAATAAAGCAATACACTTTGTTCCTGCTTTTGCACTGTCCTGGGAAGCAGGATTTGCATTACAGAACTATTCATACACCTCTGCTGTCATGGAAAACCCACAGGCTTATCCTGAAATAGACCCACTAAGAACCTGTCATACATTCTGTCTGATCAGAGTATGGACACAATGAAACCACATGTTCCCCAGAGAACAAGGGAATCAACTGGCTTTTCCACATCACACTCCCTGTTCAGTAGACTTCCAGAACTAAGAGATCAATCAAAGTTTGGATACCAAAGTCTCATGATCACACCTGGGCCCAAGAGCAGAAATCTATAATTCATTCAATTTGCAGGCCTGGGTTAAAAGGGAACGAGAAAATGAGGGTCCTTTCAAAACATCAAAAAATGCAAACTGCAAAAAGCTTGACATGACTAGTGATTACTAACTATATTCACTGTCCTTATCCTCTGTTAGGATGTCAGCAATTTACAATTCACATTCACATCCTTATATCCACTTGCTTTAAAAAACTCCCTGAAATATGGATGAAATTTCTGAGTTTCAATAATAAGGGAACTAGATTAGTCAGTCATCAACAGGTTGTTTGTTTGTTTGTTTGTCTTTTGTATCTATTGCCATGTTTCTGATACCTCAGAACCATTTCAACTTGGTTTCTATAAGCATCAAGAAAGAAAGGGGTCATGTATTATAGACCACATGTATGTAGGTCTGTGGTTTTTCACACCACATAATTTTTCTGCATGAAAACTGGATTCGCACATATCAAAACCATGATCATACATTTCATCTGTTTTTATGGGGTTTTCTCCATAAATTTCCCCTTCATAACATATAAACAATTGTCATTTCTAGCCAAAGAATAATTCCTTCTTATCAGCTCTTAAGGAATGTAACTCTTGATAAGAATCTCAGATGGCTAACATTTTTTAACACATTTTCACACATATAAATCTACACATGCACAGATAATACGGAGAATTAAACCATATTACTGTTTTCTATTTGTTTAGCAAGGAAACCATTAATAGCCACTGCTATTAAGCATGTACTATTACATTATCCAAAATATCCAAAGGCTATCTGTAACAGGATTGTGATATAAAGTCAATATGAAGTACTCCTTCTTTACTACTTCTTCCTATGTTGAGACGCCCAATGGTGGAAGGAGACATGACACTTTCAGTGTGTTCTCTCCAGCACCTGTGTATGCAGTGCTACCTGGCATTCCTCACTGAGTCAGCAACTTCAGGAATCACTCTTTCTTAAAAAACAACAACAAAAATCCTGCATTTTCTTAGAATTGAAACCAGAATGAAAAGTAGAAACACTGACCAAACACATCCACTCATTTGCTAAAGACATAAATTAAAAACTCCTGATATTCTGATTCCTTTTTTAAAAAAATTATCTTTTGAAATGAAAACATAAAAATAAATAGAAAAAAAAAAGTTGTATTTATATACTCCACAGTCATTCTTAATTTTCAAGTACAAAATATTGTCTTTGGCAAAAGAAGCCTATTAGAAGATAAAATGAAATATATAATATCTGATTATACAGTTTAATTAAAAGGTTAAAATAAAGCAATATTTAAACATTATTTTCCAATCCTCTCCTAATTCAGTCAGCTATTATCTATTCAATATCAATAAATATGGATTATTTTATTTTCAATTCCATAATGTACTAGGAATTAATATTAAAATAATTATAAAAGCATAATAAAAAATGGAAGACACTTCACAATTAGAGTCTCAGAGAACTTTGGGGATATTTTAAGATTATTTAAAATAGTTTTTTAAGGTCAAACTTTCATTTTGGGAAGACAAATTTAAGATAAGCCAAGTTCTAACATACAATATAAATATTTCCATTACAATTCCAAGAACTTAGAACCCAGACTCACCTTATCACTGGAGTAAAGAGACTGTGAAGACGACAGTATAACCTTACACCCTGTGTAAAATGAAGACATGTCAAGAGCACACAGATCACTTAAGGGACAGGTCAACAGTATTTTAAAATGGTAAATGAATGCACTGTCAGCCTCCTAGGATCATTACACAATCTCAGCCAATTTAAAAATAATGCAAGTGTAAAACTTAAATCATTAAAAACAGATTAAACTGTGCAAGTAATTTATCATAAATCTTTAAAATGTACATACACAAAAGCTTTTCTCAATTACTTTTCTTTAAAATATAAAATTTCAAGACATAATTTAAACAGAGTAATCTATACAACAATAAATCTAGACTGTGTGTTCATCGTATGTCAAAATAAATTTTAGGAGGGAGTTTGTTGTTTTTTCGATATTGGGGCTTGAACTCAGGGCCCACTCCGCCAGACCTTTTTGTGATGGGTATTTCTGAAATAAGGTCTCCTGAACTATTTGCTCAGGCTGGCTTCAAAATGTGCTCCTCCTGATATCTGCTTCTTGAGTAGCTAGGATTACAGGCGTTAGCAATCAGAACCTGGCCAATATAAACTTTAAGTGTATAATACAAAGTGATATGGTAACTATTTTTTAATATTTGCATTTCTAAAATTTATTTGATGCCATAAGTTGCTACATGTGAAATGACTGCCAATGGGGAGAACCTTCAGATTGAGGCAGTAGCACTACTTCCACTTAAAACTCAGTAAAAGAACAAAGAAACACATAACCTTAGAATTTGTGAAATACCAAAAGAAATGAAAAGATTTGCTTATATACAAGAATTTTCTAACTAGAAGAATTTTTTTAAGTCTCTTAAAATTTGATCTTTCCCAGGTAAGACAATGTGATTTCTGCTAGGAAGAGGCAGTAAGAGAGGTGGTCACCTTTGAAATCACATCCTGCATCTCATTTCTTGGGTAAAATGTGCCATCGTCATAGCGAAATCTATACAGCGTCTGCTCTGGCTTGAATTGGTGTTTATCAGTAACTGAGAACATAAGAGCAACACATTACAATGGTGATGATCTAAAAAATGGCAGATAAAAAGTAAATTTACGAAATATATACTCCCAAACACTCAAACTTTTAGTTTCATAAAGGATTTGGTCTTCTAACATAGCAATCCAGTATTTTCACAATGAAGTTGATAAGATTCTATCCTTTAATGTATTTACAATTTCCACATAATGATTTGAGCTAAGTTGATGTTAGGAATACTCAGCTAGCATACTATATATACGCGTGTATATAAAATACATATAGAGTACATATTTATAATTACATAAATATTCAACATTGTGTCTTATATTTCTTCACAATGCCACAAAATTGAACAACAAGTGCCCTTCAAAGCTTGGTTCTTAGCTCTGGAAAGCATTTATCTATTCATCACACTGTGGCCAAGACCACACATACGCAAATCCTGACCACTTATCTTGTGTTTAGACCTCCAGAGTAGATTAAATAATGTTAATATGTAACTGATTCCAGAATTTTAATAGTTCTTACACTGAAAAATGCTATCCTTACATGTCACTTAAATTTTCTTAATCAGTGGAAGATGGGAGTGGCTGTGATCACCATTCTTAAGATAAGACTTTCAGTTCTAACCAATGTGCAAAAAAGAATTAACGAAAATCTTTCTCCAACTCTTCCAAACTCATTTTATGAGGCCAGATAAGGACATTGCAAGAAAATAAAATGATAGGCCAACATACTTCACAGACATACATGCAAAAATCCTCAACAAAATATTATCAAATTTAATTCAATAGAACATTAGAAGAACCATACACCATGATCAGGTGGAATTTATTCCTGGGGTACAAAATGGTCAATACTGGCAAATCAATAAATATGGTACACCCTATTTACAGAATGAAAGATAAAAATCATAGGATGAACTCAAAACTGCAAAAAAGGCATTTAACAAAGTTCAACATTCTTTCATAATAAAGGCTTTCAACAAATTCAAAATGGAAAGAATATACCTTGCCATAGTAAAGACCATGTATGCCAGTCCACAGCTAACACTATATCCAGTGGGTAAAAGCTGACAGCTTTTGCTTCTAAGATCAGGGAAAAAGACAAGGGTGCCCATACTCCCACTTCACTTAACTTCTAGGCAGATACTTTCAGGGGCAGCTCCTACAATTAATTTAGGAAAAACTGCTGCCCTTTTAAATGAGTTTGGGTGCCTTCAAGCTGTTACTTTGTTTCAGAAAAGGCCTACCAGAGGAAATAATAATGAATGGCCTAAACCAGCAAAAACCCCTACCTTCTCTCCTACCTGACTTGAGAGTAAACAATGCTTTTTAAAATCTTACAAAATACTGTATACACATGTATATGAATGCAAAAATGGTACCTACTAAAACTATTCTAGGAATGGAGGAGGGGATAAAAGAGAGGGGTGAGGATAAAGGAGAATGGGGGAGGGGGTGAGTCCAAGTATAATGTATTTGGTACATTCATTGTAAGAACTTTTGTAAACGTAACAGTGTACCCCATCCAGCACATCAATTAAAAAATGACAAATGTTAGAGGTGTGATGTAAAAAAAAAAATAAAATCTTAAATTAATGATAAACTTTAATCAATTTTTATTTTGATAAACTTAAATTGAACCATAATGTCAAATACTCCACCAAGGAGGCACACGTTGGCCTGTTTTATGTTTTGTTTTGTTGTTTTTGAAACTGGGTCTTGCTACTTTGTAGCCAAGCTGCCCTGAAACTCACCATCCACCTACCTGCTTCAGCCTCCAATACAGGTATGTGCCACCTACTGCATCTAGCCTGTGGGCAGTTTTTACAAATGTGATGTGAGAAGAATGACCTGGAACCATGCATGCCCAGCAGTTTGTCTGCCTCTGTGCCACCATGCTCCTGTCTATATGTATATGCAGAGTTCCCAATAAAATCTTTCTTTGTTCAGTGGGAGGCATTGCTTTGGAAATTACTCACACTACTCTTACTGCATGTAATAAATTTTGTTCTCAGTATTTTGTCACCGGTCATATTTATTGGTTTTGCTCTTACCAGGGCCCAAACCCTCTATAAAGGGTTATGCTTCTATTCAACACAGCCCTGGAAGTCCTATCCAGAACAACCGGACGAGGAAAATAAACTAAGAAAATAAAGGCATCCAAATCAAAAAGAAGAAAAACTGGCTGTCTTTAAAGATGGCATGATCTGATATATAGTAATCCTTAAAATCTGTTAGAACTAATACACTATTTCAGTAAAGGAACAGAATACAAAATCAACATACATAAATCACTAGCATTTCTTTTCTTTTTCTTTTGGTGGTACAGGGTCACTAACCTTTCTATATACTGAATATGCACTATTCACAAAGAATTTTAAATGATCCTATTCATAATAACATCAAAAATCAAATATGATGCATAGGAATAAATTTAATCAAGGAGATGAAAAGGTCTGTATATTGAAAACTGTAAAACACTGACGAAAGAAATTTAAGACAACACAAACAAATGGAAAGAAACCTGTGTTTGTGAAATGGAAGAATTAATTTAAATGTAAATATGGTTGTTTTTATTTCTCTTTTGTTTGTTTTTTGAGTCAGGGGTTCTCTGTGTAGCCCAACCAGGCTTCAAACTCACTAACCTCCTTCCTGCCTCAGTCTCCTGAATACTGGAATTTTGGTGTCAGCCACCATGCCAATGGAAGTTCCTTGACATGGTCTGGAAAATAATTTTTTAGATACGTCCCTCAAAGTGCAGGCAACAAAAGCTAACAGACTAATGGGACTGCATCAAATCAGAAGCTTCTGCATATCAAACAAAATAATCAACAAAATGGAAAGGCAACCTATGGAATAGGAAAAAAAATACTTGCAAACTATATTGCCAATAAGGGATTAATATCCAAAACATATAAGGAATTCACTCAACTCAGTATCAAAAATATGAATAACTCAACTGAAAGATGGGCAAAGGACCTAGATAGATACTTCTCAAACAAAAAAGAAATTTAAATGTCTGACAGGCATACAAAAAGGTACTCAGTATCTCTAATCACAGGGAAATGCAAATAAAACTTCAATGAGGTATAACTTCATAACTGTTAAGGTAGCTATTATCATAAAACAAAAGATAAGTATCGAGAGGGGGTGTGGAGAAAAGGGAACAATTGTACATTTGTTGGTGGTAATGTATTAGTATATGAGTCATGGAAACTTGTATGGAGGATTCTCCAAACAATTAAAAACAGAGGAATCATATGATCCAGCCATCTCACTTCTGGATATAATCCAAAGTGAAGGAAATCAGTGGGTACAAATACCTGCACTTCCAAGTTCTGGCAGCATTACTCACAAGAGCCAAGATAAGTAAGCAACCTGTGTTCACTGATGGATGAGCACATAGAGAAAATGTGGCATGATATGCTGCATGCTTGAAATCGCTGAGAGTAGATCTTAAATGCTTATAACACACTCACACACATGCACACACACACACAAAGAAACTACAGGTGTAATGGATATGTTCATTAGCCAGATTGTGGTGATTCTTTCACAATTTATACACATATCAAAACATGTATGCCATCAATACATATAATTTTTGTCAATTACATCTCAATGAAGCTGGAAAAATCCCTATCAAAATCTCCTCTCACTTTTTTTTCCTTTTCTAGATTAAGTTAATTTATAGATAGTACAACAGAGAAATGACTGTTCTAGAGTAAAAAAACAAAAACAAAAAAACCTTCAAAATAAAATTTATCACTTATATTTAAATATTTTCTTTACAGGAAATACATTTGTAGAAGAGAT